TTAATATTTACCTTTATCTTACACAGAATATATTCCTTATAATGTGTGTGTGTTTAAATTTTATTTTAAGAAAACATAGTATTAATATATTTTAACTTGATCCGATCTGCCGTGTATATATGTAGATAAATATAATATTACACTTTATAAATTTTTACTCTTTTATGTTGCTTATCTTCCATTTAACAGCACTATTCTCCTTTATATCTAAAAAACCTCTTAAATTGAAAAGGATACTTACAGCTAACAGGACTCTAGAAACCACCCGGTGTATTGGAATTTAAGATATTTACTGCATTTCAGAAATTAAAACCTAAGTGTGAATTTCGTCCTTCAAGATACAGAAATAAAATTTAAGAGGTATAAATTGATATTTATATAAGTAAAAATTATTAGAAAAATGCAATTCTGGAAAAAGGAATTCAAGAATCAAATATGTATAGAATATGGCTATGGCCAAAATAAAAAAAGAATTATACTATAGGTATAAATAATAACTGTACAGTAAATAAATAACGGCACAGTAAATAAATAAATTGATATTAATGTAATCTGATTTTAAGATATTTGGTTTTTAAGGAGTGAATTCTTAAAATTGGGAATTTTGTCAGAAAGTGACAAATTTTTTATGATGTAGTTTTAGAGGCCATCTTATTAGCTTTATTAAAATATCAAATTTATTTATAATTTTCCATTCACCAAAACAAAACCTACAAGTGCTTTAGTAAAATCAGATGCCACTACTTTAAACAAGATGTAATACTTTAAAATGCATTTTACTCAAAATGTTGTTTTTTGAAAATGCTCAAAAGGGGACAGTGATTGCTCAAAAATCTTTGAAAATAATTAGCTGAAATTTTTTGTGTAAGCTCTGTATAACAGTAGAAGTGTTTTATCCTTCAGATTTTTTAATCACTGTTTATTTCAAAATTTGCAGTCCTTTATGTGAATTTAATCAGCGTATTTTTAAGCAATGTCATATAATAACTAAGATACAAAGTTCTCTAGTTTCTGTAGAAATTAAAATATCTTTTATAGTGAAGGCCAATTCAAAAATGAATAACAAAGCAACACTTCAAAATTGAAAAATTGAAAATTTGTTCATAAAGTTTTAGTACAGAATGGGCCCTGTTTGTGTAAATTTTTGTAAATGTTTACCTATTTTTCCCATTTTGGTAATAGTAATTTCTTTTTGTCTTCTTAATTTTAGCATATTTTCTTTAAAACCTAGTAAATAAATCTAAAAACCACAAACAAATTTCCGAATTTTTCGACTTTAAAAAAATATGTTTGAAAGAGTCGAACATCTTAAAAAAATGTTAAATGTAAAATATATTTATGAAAATAGATTTTCATAAGCATAATAATAAGATAAGTGTCTATAAGGCATACATTTATGTTCTAATGATCTAAATCCCAGACTCAAATGCAGGGGTTTAGGGATATACTTTGACAATAGCCTAGAAATCATTGTGCGCATATGTGATACATTTATGCGTGACAACACTACAGTAGATAATTTACATACATAATTGATTTCTCCATCAACACTGTTCATATTAAGTTGAGGGCATAGGATTAGAACTGAATTATAATGACCCAACCAAAACTATGCTTAAAGTCACTCACACCCTTCGAATATTCATTGTACACGTAAAAAGTTCATTGCGATCTTTTCACAAATGCACCGCAAACCTGAAGAAAAAAAATCTTCAAATTTGCAGTGAATGAAAGATATATAATTTTAAATAATAGAATTACAAAAAAGTTTCAGGTTTTGTTTCACGAAATTAAAATACTAAAATATAGTACTACAATGTGTTTAATATATTATGTAGTTTGGTACACCATAGAAATATTCAGTTTTATCTGCAATAGTTGAATTAAGAATAGTTGTATTCGCGCGCGGTATTCTTTTTGTAGTATCAACTGGGGGCTGATTTTTAGATACATCATTTTTTCAGTAGTATTTCATCTCATTGAAATGTAGTTTTAAATAGTAACCTGAGAACGTTTTTTCATGAAAGTTTTTCAAGAGGAAAAATGAATTATAAGACTTTTAATCTAGTTCTTAAAAAATTGGCCTTGTAATAAATCTTAATTAAGTAGCTATGGGAATTAAAAAAAACTCAAAACATATTCAAGCAGAAATAATTTTACTAATGAAAAATTAAAATTAGTAACTATTTCACACTGCAAGTTTTCATCATGATTCTAAAAATATTTTAATTCAATTTAAGAGTAGGAAAACACTTTAAAATGAAACCGAAACAAAGAATTAGCTGTGGAAACTCCAAGTATCTTAAAAACTAATTTGTTAACAGACCTAAAATTCGATACCATGTTTCCTAATGATATGGGCCAGAAGAAAATACGAAATTAAAAATTTGGTAATTTTTGAAATTTATATAGAGGGTACTGTATATTCTCTTAAATCGAACATCATATAGAGCGAACTGAGGGCGAGAAAAGACGAAAGTGGAGGAAATATGCTTGCACTCGATTGCTATTTCTACCACAATGAAGCTTAGAATGTCAACCCCCTTCGATTTTAATAAAACGGCTCTCTAATTTTTGTTAACAATAAAAGGAAATGAAATTAGAAGGGGGAAATGTGAATTGAAATTAGAAGTTTAGATGTATATGTGACAGATCAATGATGTTCTTAAGTTAAATTAAGAAGGAAAAGCATACTCCCTTGTGTGAATTTGTGAAACACTTTCGTTCTACGTTCCGACAATTCCTTCAGTTTTAAATAACTACCACAGGACATTTTAAGGACTATATATATTAAGTTCTATAATATGAAAGTATATTCTCTTTCCAATTTATAATGTGGTAGAAATTTACCTGAATTATTTTCATGTGAGGAGAGGGACAAAAGAGCAACTCAATAGAGCAATTTTAATATGTTTTCCTAACCTAAAAATATGATATAAAGACAAATATCTTTAAAATACTCTGTTTAATATAAAGATTCATTAATAGCAAGAAAATAACGAATATTTTCAGACAAAGTTTTTCCAAAGTTGAGCATTCAAAATTATGAATTTATAAAAGTATTGTTTACATTTTCCCATGATATATTTAAATATTCGTACACTTCATCTGGTATTGTACTTAATATTCCGAATTTCTAGCATCATGTACTGCTAATGTGTACTTATTCTTACATTAATTACTTATTTTTAAGGAAATAAATTAAAAAAAAACAATTATAAATTTTTACCTAATAAATTTGGTTTACATTAAATAAATTATAATTATTATAGGGTTCAGAAATTTATTTAGAAGTTATTCTGAAGTTTTATGAAGTTATATCAAGACATTTGTATGAACCCTTCAAACGTATAAGTTAAAAAAGTAACAATTTGCAAAAACATTTAACCCCCCATAACATTTTAAATATTCAAGCTCTCCTTAAGAAGGGAATATATGCTTTTAACGTTAGTTAATTTTCAAGTTCAAACAAATTGTATGGGAAATATGCGAACTGAATTTCAAAATGATATAACACAATACATTTAAGGTAAAGAATATGTTCACATAAAAGATGAGACAGCTTTTATTGCAGACATAACCATAAACGGCGTGATTTGCATTATGATATAAAACAATTTCGAAAAGTTGAAACAATTCAAAAATTTTCTTTAATTCATTTTCCATACAATCCAGAAAGTTAATATGTTGTAAGTGATGAAAGGAGCACCTGCATCTGAATAAAACCAAATTTGATAAACAAATTGCTTGAAGTCTAGACTGTTTTGTACGACTAAATAAATTTCCAATATTATTATAAGAATACAGATTTACATAAGGTTATAAAAAAGAGTTACATTAATTTAATAAACTTGGCTTGTTGACTATCACATTAAGAAGGGAAGCAAGTATTATTCTCCACTGAAAGTAAGGATAACAGATATGAAATTTATAAGACGTGCCAGTTACGAAGATAACCCTTCTGAAGAGATATTTTAGAGTGAATTTTTAAAGTCTTTATTGTACAAAATAGTTTTCTACATAGAGTGATGCGATTTACTGCATTGCTGTCTCTTTTCATTTGTTTTCAAGAATATATTTATATAGCAAACGATAACACATGCGAAAAAAAACAACCGTGTTATATATAAATTAGAAAATCAATTTCACTTCATTTCTTTATGCGGTTTCGCGAAAAAATAAAAAATATAATTATATGAATAAAAGTGTGTAATATAATAAAATAGTTTATAAAAATGAAAAAACATCAAGAAAAAAGGTGAAAATCACGGTATTTTATGAAATATTTTGTTCTTTTAATTTTTTAATTTAATTTTACTTAAATAAAATTAAATTTTAATTCATCAGGAAACAAGGTTCAGAGAATTGAAACAATACATTTTTATTGAAGAAGCAGAAATGAAGGCATTTTTGAAGTTATACTTTTTCTGGGGCATTAGGGAAAAAGGATGAGGGTAAATTTTTACGATACGCGCGCACACCATCACGGATGCGAAAATGCTTTGTCTAGAAATATACAGAAAGGGACAGATTATTCCTGCCATCGGAATTCTCCGAGAAAAAAAGTATCTCTTCACTTCCCTGAAGAAGGGGGCACCTGGGCTTGAACCGGGACCTCTGGATCTGCAGTCGAAAGCTCTGCAACTAAGCTATACTCCCCGTGTCAGCGAACCTTTGCTTTGCTTTCCGTAGGAACGGATACGAAAATGCTTTGTCTAGAAATATACAAAACGGGACAGATCATTACCACCTTCAAAATTCTGAAAAAAAATGTATCTCTTCACTTCCCTGAAGAAGAGGACACCAGGGATTGAACGGGAACCTCTTGACCTGCAGTTGAACGCTCTACCACTGAGCTATAACGCAGCGTCAGCTTACCTTTGTTTAGGCTCCGTAGGAACGGACAAGAAAATGCTTTGTATAGAAATATATAGAAAGGAACAGATCATTACTACCTTTGAATTCTCAAAAAAAAATGCTTCTCTTCACTTCCATGAAGAAGGGGGCACTCGGGTGTGAACCGTGGACCTCTTGATGAGCATTCGAATGCTCTACCACTGAGCTATACCCCCTTGTCAGCGAAACTTTGCTTTGAGCTGATTTGTGACGTCACTACTAGTAGAGAGATATCGTCCTTCGCCTACGAAGCTTCTCTGATGTATTTTTTGAACACTTTTTGTTAGTCAACGAAATATACATACAGACATTTTTTTTTAAAAATTAGTAAATTAATCTTTAAATTGTGTTTCATATACATAAAACATAAGGGTAAATATTAGTTTACCTATTTAAATAATAATTGCAAGTATATGATTATAGATGTATTTACTACGAACGCATTGCGATGAACATAAAAACATTTATTACATTGTAGCAAATTATAAGAGCCTTTTGTATTCATATATTTATTTTTGTACAAAAGCACATACACACGTTTTATTTTTATTAGTTTGATACAGATATTAGCCAAAATCGGTGGGGGAAGCTATTTGTGTCCTGCCAGGACAGTTAGAGAACAAACATTTCCTTCACTGGTACTACCAAAGACCTTTGAGTATTTTCCATTCTGACGCCCACATCAATACAATTGCTCAGTAGGATTTTGGTTGATCTTGCTAATTTGAGGTTGATCTGCTTTTTTTGTTTATAAAAACACATTTTTTTATATATTAAACCTCAACTAACACTGACATAGAAGCATACACGTAACACTGTGTCAAACATGATTGGAACAAAGCAATATTTATACGTATAAATAAAAAAAGAAGTGTCTGTTTGTAACTTGAAATTAACAGATTTTTACTAAATGCATTTAAAAGTATATACGGTACTTGTATGAAAAGATCATTTTTTTAAAGAAATTCTGTGTGTCTGTCTGTCTTTCTATTTGTTCCAGCTAATTACTGAAAATGCTGAAACAATTTTGACTGAACTTTCACTGGCAGAGATAGCTAATGATATAAGGAGTGACTTGGGCTACTTTTATTTTAGAAAAAAAAATTAGGGTTCTGCGAAAATAAAATTAAAACCAATGAAATAGCGAACAATATCCGATTCAAATAGGGATTATATATTTCAATAGAAATCATTTTTATTCAATAGGGATTATTTTATTTCGTGAGCCTTCTGGCTCAACGATTTCTAGCAGTTATATCAAACTTTTTTGTTTTGTTAGGTTGCTGCCACCGCGACATTTCCCGTTCATGTACTTTGATCCTAATGATTTTACAGTCCTCATCCCTTCGACAGTGTCAAGGGTCATGCGTCCCGCTCACCCCTTGCTCAACAAAAAAACAAAGAAAACAAATAAAACAAAAAAGAAACATCGATTCACAAAGTAGAAGAATGACATTATACTTATAGCATGTGTATTTTTATATAAGTGGAATACATAATTATTAAGTTTTCGTAAACTCTGCGAATTGAATGAACAATTTTGTTAAATTCCACGCGGACGAAGTCACAGGTAACAGTTGTTAAACATAAAATAAATGCATAAGAAATTAATATTAACGTATTACACATCCAGATACAAATTATTTACACTATTTTAAGCGTTTATTGCACAAAATTCGTAGCAATGTTTTACTTTGCTGAGCAGAAGGAAAGTGTTTTCTAAAATCCAACCACAAGAGAGTTTCGGGTCGTTAACAATAAAAAAAATCTTTTTTATCAGCTACATATCTACGGACTTAAACTTTAGCAAACATGGTTTTTTGTTCAGCTGAGATATGCAAAAAGCTATTTTGTTTAATTTACAATTAACGTAAAATTAACTCATTAAAAACTTCTTTATCCTTCAGTCTGTATTGTTTAAATTTTCAATTCACCCGTGCGAAAAACGGGTATACCAGCTGTAGTCTCTAATATAAATGCTATTGGTGTAGCCATAGCGATGTCACCATGCGTAAATCGTCGCATTCCACCATGTGTGTTTCTTTATTAAGTAGAATCATTAGGTTTCTAAGGGCAAGCACCCACTACGTCTATTAAAAAGACTGTTTTTCTTCTACCTCACAGATGACTACTTGAAATGCTACTAGTTTGGAGACAAAATGGTACACGCATCAATAGACGATTCATGCTTGTGTGTGTCAAATGATATTCGGCCTGTACAAATCTGGCGCAGTAGTTACATTTACACTCCGTCTGCATGTGTGAAAAGTCCTTTCGCTCGACAACACGGCCACTTTGCAGATTTATCGCATACGATAGTAGGTTACCCCTGTTTCGTATTCGTGACACCACAGTGACCCACCGATTCGACGTGCTGCAAGCAGGAATATTGGGTGGTACGTGCCGAATGCTCTTTATAAGCATTTTTACCGCAGCACCACTTTTACCGAATGCGCACCCTTTTCTCTACCGTATTTAATATGATTCATAAATTGTAAATGTGTTTTTCTGGTCGCCATTCTACTCTGATCGAGCATGTCAGGTACGGGCTCAAATTTCCGCATGGATTGTGAAAAATGATTGACAGGGACCAGAAATCCATACATCATGATAAAATATCAGATATCATACACATTAAAATGTATAAGCATATTAAATTGTTCATGTTTTTGGTAAAACTGATTGGCGAGCCTTTGTTGCTCTTACAGAAAGAAGGCTTTACCTCACTCCCGCTTTCCAAAAAACTCAACGAAAACTGGCTATATTTCAAGGATGTTGCAATTCGTAATGCAAATAGAACCATCGCTAAAGGAAATTTACAGTGTTTTAATGATACCTACATGCACAAGGACCCTTATCTACGAACTCTAGTTGACAGAAGAGACAGACTGTTTCAAAAACTCAAACATACTAACAGCGACAATATCCGAGTTGAGTATAACAAAACTAATACAGAATTTAAACGTCCGTAGGCAGCAAAAAAGTGAGTATCATGGCACGAGATTTGCAGTTAAATTTGATGCTAGATATAACAAATACATGTTATGGACTATTGCTAAATATCTGAGTAGAGATCGACCTCAAGTGGAGGCTCGCAATACCATTTTGACTATGGATGACTTCCCTCCAAATGATGCCAGAGCTATTGCTAATATCTTAGGTAGCCATTGTCAGAAAATGAGTAGACTGACTTTTAACAAAGCCGACAAATATACTGAAAGACAAGCAAAATTGGCTGTACACAAGTGAAGTAGCTCAAATCTTGAGGATCCAGTCTTCTTGGTCGACTTCTCGTCACAAAAATTACTCTTATTCTTAAATGCTCTCTATCCGAAGAAATCACCGGGATCACAGAAAACATACTTGGGGTAATGATTTCTCATCTTGGTCCAAAAGGCACTCAATGTCTGCTGGATATATTTAATCAATCTTTGAAAAGTGCCAACTGCCTCACTAGTACAAAAATGCCACTATCATTCCCATTGGGAAACCAGGCAAGGTGTTTAGTTTCCCTGTGAGTTAACGACCGTTTGCTTTGAGAAATGTACCATGTAAAATCATGGAAGAATGATGCTCTAAGAAGACTCACCTACTTTCTAGACAGCAATTATTTGCTTCCACGGGAACAATATGTATTTAGGAGAGGACATAGTACGGAAGATCAGATTTTGTACTTTTGTCAATGTGTCAGAGATTTCCATCATTTAAAACCGATCGAGCAGCAGCATTTTTAGATTTATCTAAAGCTTTCAACAAAGTCAGGACAAAAAGCTCATTGTTAAAATGTTTGATATACTTGGAATAAAAGGGAGAACTCTGTCATGGATCTCAGATTTTTTTAAACCTAGAATTATTCGAGTTAAGCACAATAACAGACATTCGAGGGATTTTAAACTCTGCCAAAAAGTTTCCCAAGGATCAGTACGCAATCCTACACTCTTCTTTATATTTTTGGCTGGAATGGAAAAGATGATTACTGAGAATGGCAGTATTAATTTATTTGCAGAAAACATTGTCAGAGTTAGTGACTTAGGACTGACCACAAACTATCATTTAATCTCATGAAGTCCGTGACCAGTTTTTTCATCACAAATAGATATTTATATAAATATCAACCAACTGTTTTTATAAAAAGTCAAAAACTCTCATACGTAAAACATTCTAACTATCTAGTCTTTTCCTTAGACCAAGGGATTGCTTGCAAACTGCATATAGAGGATTTGGTTTATAAAAGTAGAAAACGCCTAAATATATTAAAATACATCTGTGGGCGTGAATGGGGTGCAGGTGCCCCTACTCTAAAAATTACCTATACTACCTTAATTAGACTTATTTTGGAGTTTGGTTCTACCATTTTATTTTAGCTTCTGTAATTCTAACCTTAAAAAACTTGAAAGAATACAGCTGAGTGCTGTTAGAATCTCTCATTGCAGATCTTCATAACATCTGTCCTAATAACTTAGTTTTAAATGAGTGTGACCTTCAGCCTCTAGGTATAAGAAACTATTGTTTGACCAAGTACTTCTACAAATTGCTCACAGTTATGACGATCAATATCTAACATCTCACTACTTAAATTATTAGAAAGGTAATCAAAGATTAAAAAGTAATAGTCCCTTCTCCCAAGCACTTGTGCAAAACTTGAGTTTCAATGTGGAACATGACTGCCTGACTTGCTTTATCAACCCTGTCCTTGGACTACAGGGTGTCATGTTCCATTCTCGTTTAATGCCCATTGTCAATAAAATGTCTGACTACTCTGAGCTTTTAAGCAATTAGATCTGAAGGTGATAGATGGTATTTCACTGGATTCAATCAAGATCTATACTGATGGTAGTAAGGGAGAGACAAACACTACTGGAAGCCAAATTTTAATTGAACAATCTGGCCTCATTATCAAAATTTAGATAAGAAATACTGACCACGCTTCTGTCAACAGAGCGGAGCTAATAGCTATTATGTGTGATCTTTCATTAATTAACAACACAATATCATGCTTTTTCTGAAATTTTGATCCTGACAGACAGCCGATCCTGCATCCAAAATTTATCGAATCGACCATCTATAAGGGACAGCACCGGCAGGAGTATTCTACACCTTTTTATACAACTTTCAGATCGGTACTCTATCCATTTACAGTGGGTCCCTTCTCATCTATGCCTGCCCGGAAACGAAG